AAAAAAAAAAAAAAAAAATTTTAAATTACGTTGATCTATCACTTTTGTGTGTACCCATGCACATACACACTCCCAACCCTCAAACAGTTGATTATGAAAAATTTTCTCATCTTTAAATTTTATTTTGATCTTCTTGCAATGCTTATTTTTAGTGCTATTTTGTATAATATATTCTCTCCAACATAACCCTAATGATGTAAATATTTATCTCTAATTCTTTCACTAATATCCCCATTGATTTATTTTCTGCCTAACTCAAATTGTGCAGTATATTTTTCACAGATTTGAAAGTAGCCCTCTTCCTCCTTCTAGAACATGATTGTTATATTGCCTTTAATGTTCTACTTTCTCACCTATAAAAAGCTAAATATTTCAGATGCATTGATTTAATAATAATTCACTAAGTGCCTTACTATGTGCCAGATTTAAGATAGAGTGGCCAGGTGTTGTGGCTTGTGCCTGTAATCCCAGCACTTTAAGAGGCCAAAGTGAGAGGATCACTTGAGGCCAGGAGTTTGAGACCAGCCTGGGCAACACAGTGACACCCCAACTCTACAAAAAATATAAAAAATTTTTAAAAATCACTTTCTGGGAAAATGTTGTACAATCAAAGAGAAATTATGATTTTTGGAGTCAGGTCAACTTGATTTGAACTCTGGGTCGCAGGGCAAATTATTAGTCTCCCTGAGTCAGTTTTTCCAATGGCTGTTTTTTCTTTGGGTACAGATATGACTAATTTAGAAAGCCTTTCCCTAACACATAATAAAAGATCCCCTCTAGTACTGACTCTTTTTGGCCGCTGGTCTTTGTAGAAGTTGAATCTCCCTTTGTACCTTGTATAATATCAGGCTTCCCTACCACACCCTAAGCTATAAAAGTGCAGGGTCCATGTCTATTTTTTTCACCAACTTATAGTGAGCTCCTAACACAGCCCTGGCACATAGAAATCACTAATTGACGTAAACCATTTTAATTCTTTTCATTGTGGTTTCTAGGATTAAGTCTAGACAGATGCATCTAGTTTTGTCCCTTCCATGCTTGAGTTAGGCACCTATCCCTCATCTGTCCTGTCTGCAATGTTGCCTCTCATCTGTCTGTGTCCCCAACCAGAACGTCAGCATGGGGAGTATTCCCGTCAGTCTGTACCATCAGAAATAAACACAAAGTCTGAGTCCTTAAAAGACCCTTAACGCACACTGAACGAACAAATACAAAAATCAATTGCAATGACTTTATTTTAGAGGCTTTGCAGGCCCCAAAGAGTCTCTTTTGATGAGGCTGTGACCCAGTCAACCATCTTCACTGGAGTCCTAATCACTGATTCTGGTTTGTAGATCAAAGATTCCTTCACATGATCTCTTTTCCATTCCTTCATATTAGGTTTCATGTTCGCAAAGTAGATCCACCTTTCTCTAATACCTAGAAGCAAATATAAAAGCGTATATTCAAATTAAGAGCATCTAGCTATACACATTGATTATAAGGTCAAAAGAGATAAGGTTTTGTGCACTACAATAGGAAAAAAATGAAACAAATAGAACTTTTAATGAAGAAAGAGTGGCAGGCTGAAATATTAGACAATAAATAACACCTGTAGAAAGGAAGGAAGCAGGATTGGCTTTATAGGCAGAACCGATTTTCTTTTTTATTGAATTAGGCTCCTTCTTAGTTATTTCAAAGACTGATGATACCATGTTTTTAAATCCTGTGCTGGTCTTCCTGCTAGAGTATTAATATTTAGGCAAGCAATTCTTACACTAGAAGACTACTCATTAGTTACACTTGTAGAAGACAGATGTTATAGCACTTTGCTCTAACTCTGTTTTGACCTGAGAGCCCAATTTAGCACTCTACTGGGAAGGCTTCCAAGTGACATTTGGTCTTTTTGTTCTATTCTCCCTGCTAGCTTGGGTCACTCTAAAATAGACTGACTATTGGCAACTGTGCCATTAGCCATCAATAGCCTGAATTCAGGACAGGCTCATTTTAACTCTACAAAATATACTGCAGGTCACACACACACACATTCTCAGCTTGCAGAGTTCTCAATGTAAGCAATAAAAGTGTAAAGGGTGAGATTAAGTGCTTACTTGAGACCATAACATCTTCCTTATCCACTCTCCTTCCCTCCTTGCACAGAGCTGAGAAGAAATATGAGAAATTATGGGCAGCTAGGTTAAAAAAAAAAAAAGTATGAAATAGAAGCATTTGGAGAGAATACAAAAACTGAAGTCATTTATTCTACTGGAGGATTAGATATAACAGTCAGAGACAACAGCTGAGACAGAGTTAATGACAGTATGTACTGGCTTTTCTCCCCGTTTGGGTGATCCTGGAGGTGGTGGGGATGCTGCTGACTTGCTGAGGAACAGAATTACTGCCTTTCTTAGTAGCATAAGCTTACTCTGGGCATTTACACGGTTGTTCCGACAGAAGAGAGGGAAGAACCTAGGAACTCCCTGTTCAGGACTCCTTCCGTCTGGCAGATGCCTTAGAATTCTTGATCTTCCAGACCCAAAGCTAAGCTAAAACTATTAAAGTAAGATCTATGAAGGAAGAAAGTTAACAATATTTAATAAAAGCCCTGGAAGAAGAAAAGGTAACCTATAGGGGAAAAATGTTTTGAATAAGTAATGACTGAGAACTTCCCAGAATTAAAGTGTAGAGTCTCAGATTATATGTATGCAGCTAAAGCAGTTCTTATGAGGAAACTTCTAGCTTTAAAAATATTGATCAGAAAACAGAAGAAATGAATATAAATGAGGCAAGAAGCTGGGAAAAGAACTGAATAAATCTAAAAAAACAAAAAGGAAGGAAAAAGATAGTAAAAAAAATTAAGGAAATAGAAGACGAAACGGCAAGGTGGAGAGTAATCAAAACTAGAAGTCAGTTGTAGTGGACTTGGACCTGAGTGGAGTTAGGGGATGGCCTCCAGCTGCCAGGCCCTGGGAGAGCCCCTAAGTTGCAGAAGAGTGCCATTGTCCAAAGTCACGGCCTGCCCTGAGCAGGCCACTAACTGACTAGGCTAGGGTATAAGGCACAGCTATTTGATCCAAGGCAGGCCAACCCTGATGTTGTAGGCCCAGAACTTTCCCCAGTAGTGGCCCAAGGCTGTGATCCAGGCTTGCATGACAGTCTGACTCTCCTTCTCCCAACCCTGCTTTCTCTCCTCCTTTCTCCAGGTGTCAACCCCAAAGACACACACTCCCAACCTTCTGTATTCTACACTCTGCATCAAAGTCAGCTTCCTAAAGAATCCTGCTTAGATACTGTTCTTTGGAAATATTAATAAGATGAATAAATCTCTAACAAAACCGAACAAGAAAACAAGCGAAAAATCAAGTAAACAAAATACAGAATCTAGAAGAGACAATAACTACTGACACAACAGAGAAAAAAAATCATAACTTTGAAAACTTCAGTATAAGCTAATTACTCATATAATGCAACAATTTTAAATAAAGCATGAACTAATTAAACCCAAGATTATTTTTTTCCATAGAGATGGGATCTCGCTATGTTGCCCAGGATGACCTTGAACTCCTGGCCTCAAGAGTACTTTTAATGCATCATAATAATATTAATTGGTCATAGCACAAAGCTAAGTTAAATTTAAAAGCAAGTTTTAAAATTAAAAAATAAGTTAACTTAAAAATATTTTTAACATGAGGCCATAATGATACTCAGAAAGCAAAGAGGGGAAAGTTCTTTGTACTAGTAGAATGACAGCTAATAAATGAATAAGGACTGATAACATTTTGCAGTCCTCAGTGTAATAATGATTTCAGACATGGACAACCATTGGATGCTAAAATCTTCAGGTAAATGGTTGTTAGTCACATTTGCCAAAGTCACCCTACAGAGTAGTTACAAAAGGGTGGGCACTGCGGCTCATGCCTATAATCCTAGCATTATGGGAGGCCAAGGCAGGAGGATCACTTGAGGCCAGGAGTTTGAGACAAGCCTGAGCAAGAGAGAGACCCCATCTCCACAAAAAAAAAAAGGAAAAATTAGCCGGGAATAGTGGTACACGCCTGTAGTCCCAGCTACTCGGGAGGCTGAGGGAGGAGGATTGCTTGAGCCCAAGAGTTCAAGGCTGCAGTGAGCTATGATCTTGCCACTGCAGCCTAGGGTAATAAAGCAGAACACTGTCTCAGAAACAAAAAAACTATTATGTTAACCCTGTGAACTATGTATTGTACTAGGCGGCTTCATTAGCCAAGGATTTTCTTTAATGGAATAGCTGTATGATCCAGATTCAGCTTTAATATCCAGGAATTCCGAATACAGAGATAAGCAGATATTAAGAATCACAACATACCATAGGAGAAGCCCAAGAGAAGAAACCTCCACATGAATGAATACCTGGTTATCTTGTACACAATACATCATTGCTTGGTTTTCAACAAAAAAATTACAAGATGTTAAAAGACAAAAAGCGGAGTGTGTAAATACAGAGCAGACACCAGATCCAGGCTGAGATATGGCAGAGATGTTGGAATTATCAGATCAAAACTGTAAGACAATTTTGATCAATATGCTAAGGGCTCTAATGGAAAAGGTAGACAACATGCAATAAAAAACGAGTAATGCTAGTGGAGAGATGGAAACTCTAAGAAAGAATCAAAATAAAATAATAGAA